TAGAAATCATCAGTCATTAATCTGACTAGTGGCTAGGGGGAATCATACCTAAGTGAGTTCCCAACCTGTAATTAGATTAACTTTAACTATAGTTTGCTAGAGTAGTTTTAGTAGTTCTATCTTAATCTGGTTTGCTAGATAATGAACTGAAGCTGAGTAATAGTAACTCTAGAGACCCGTGGATTCGATATTTATTACTTGAGCCACTATACTGCATTCCCTTTCATTGGGTACACTTGGTCATTGTTAGGAGTAGTGTCATAGCGAGTTATGTTTTTGGCGCCGTTGCCGGGGACTTTCTAGAGTATAGGAAAGGCAGAAGTTTGTTACTTTAGCGTTTTTTTTTTCCACCCTTGATTTTCACTTGGGTGTTTTTGTTTTTGTTGGTGCAGATTTGAATCATGGATCCTCATGGCTTCTCCAACCATTGGGGGTATCCACCACCGTCCGAGTGGTATTACCCCGAGACCCCCTGGAGCAATCAAGGAGGAGAAGACTATGGATTCGGGTTCCAGTACCAACCCCCTTACTACGGAGAACAATCAGACCCCTAGGCATATCAAGAACAACTTCATTACCAAGAAGACTTTCTCCCACAACCAGAAGGGCCATCGGAGCTGGAGTTACCCATGGCGGCCTTCACGGGCCATTCTGCAGAGCCATGCTACACTCCACAGCCATATCCAAACTATGAATTGAGGCTTCTCATGGAGCAGTTTGCTCGAGACGGTGAGAGATCATGGTCCATGATGGATCTTTGTACCCAAGCCTATCGTGAAACAGAGGAGATCCTCCTGAGCATTAAGAAGAGCGTCGATGATCTTGAGCGATCTTATGCACAACCTGCTCCAGATCACCCTTCTGCTACCATACTAGAAGAGGAGGAGGAAGAAGAAGGCTATAAGGACACTGTGGAGCACACTGAAGTTGTCACGGAGAGCTCCCATGATGATCATGACCAGGAATGTCATGTCGTAGCCGACCACACCTTCCCACAACCCAAACTGAGCTTTGAAGAGGCGGGCATGAGTGAGGAGATGCAAGAAGATCTCATGAAATAAATTGCTTGGCAACTTGCTCCTCAATTCGTGCTAGAAGAAGAAGAGCGAGAAAGGGTGCAGAAAGAAGTTGTGGAGGATGACGAAAATGAAGCAGAAGAAGTTCTTGATCATTCCCATGGGTGATACCACATGAAGAAGGAAGGGAGGTTGAAGAAGCACTTGGCGTCCAGGCCGAGGACGAAGTTGAGGTGGAAGAATCTTGCACCGGCCATGAGTTACATGTGATATCTCCACCAAACTTCGAGGAATTGCTTAGCAAGGACCCATTTGCAGTGTCTCTTTGCCAGACCAAGGCCACATCGACATCGGTCCCTCTTGGTGGATGCGATGGTGGTCAATCGATGTTGTTATATCTGGTTTGGGGCAATGAGACGAGAGAAGAGAAGAAGAGGTCTCGAAACTTAGGAGCTATCGTCCGGCTCACGATGTGAAAGAAGCGCTTGTTGGGAGGCAACCCAACCATTCGGTTTGCATTTCTTTCCCTATTTCTCTTCAGTTGAGTCAGTTTTGTTCTTTGATTTTAGAGTAAATAACTCACAACCTTTGTGATATTTTGTGTGGTGTTTGTGTTCTGACTACTCTCTCCTCCTGGAATGCACCGCCTGCCCCGTCCACCATCATTCACCTTTTATCTGGTAACTTCGTTCTACCCTCCTTCTCTTTCCTCCATTGAGGACAATGTCGTGCTTAAGTTTGGGTGGATGTTCGATTATGTATGCGTGTGAATGTTTGGATGTATGTGTGTGCTTGGAGCCTAGTCCACTGTCCAAATTTCGATTTGAGGGCTCCAAGTACGTGTTCCTTGCAATTGCCTGCTCAGTATGCTTTGAATTGACAGTCTCTATAGTAATGTGCAACCTAGGGATGTAGTGTAGCACTATGGAGGATGTTGATGCATTTAAGAAGTCTCCTTTCTTTTTCATATTGTGTTGGTTGATTGTGTGAATTAGTGATCTTAGGACCATTGTATTGTGTGGTGTTGTGGACTCTCTACCCGTCATGGACTCCAGTATCATGTTTTGAAATAAAAGGTGCTCGAAAATGTGCTTTAAAATAACGTCTCCCGTGCGAATAGGGCGAAAGTGTGTAAGGGAAGATGGGAATCCGTTCCCAATTTCCACCTACTACCTCCAGCCCCCTTACATTTCTTTCCCCGCACAAGGCTCGAGACATCCGCTCCTGGCATGGCTGGTAAGAGCCGGGCTCCTGCAAAACCTTTGCTAGGTGGGAGCCCCCATTTTCTGAAAAACAGGTTGGAACCCTTGAAAAGAAAAAGGAAAAAAAAAACAGAGAAACAAGAAAAAAAGAAAGAAAATGGGTTTCAACCATCTTCAAGAAGAAAATAGAGCACCTTGAAAATGAGAGTCCATGATCTTTTGTTTTTGAGATTCCATTCGTCCACGATTCATTTGTCCTCTGATCACTATTTGCCATGATGCCGACTCGAGACTAGCGTTCTTGCCGAAAAAGCTATGAGATGACTTGTGCGTTGGTTGACCTCGTAAGCTGCTAAATGATCTAGAAAAACCTCTATCAACGATCAAGGGTGCATGTTGCTGTAGAGGTCTGGAGATCTGCATTGGTTTGAGTTAGGTTTGCTTGGGGATAAGCAAACGGTTAAGTGTGGGGGGATTGATGACTCGATATTTGCACATGTTATCCCCTTTGTTTCTTGATCGTTTAAGCTTAAATTATCGCTTCTTTGGCCTATTTTACGCTAGGTTGTGTTCCTTTGTCACATTTCAGGTCCTAGCACATAAAGTGAAGCGTAGGCGCAAGTTTCAAGTCAATCGGAGATCAATTGGCGACTCGGGGGAAGAAACTCGGGTATGACTTGAAGAAGATGGATTTCTACCTCAGTTTGTGACCATATAATCATGTAATCTTGTCATGATAAGAAAGAGGACGAGACTACGAGCGTCTGGGATCAAGCGACACCTGATTTGGAGTCCGAACGAGGGAGAAACGAAGAATCAAAGATAGGGGACCCGGAATTGCAAAATACCGGACCATAATACCCTACCAGGTATTTTGACCATCTGATAGGGTATTTTTGACAACATCAGAAGGCCCCCCGGTCGTGAACCAAAAATACTCGACCGGGTACTAAAAATACCCGACCGAGTATTTTCCCTTTTGCCCAGAAGAGTGACCCGGAGCATTTTGTTGAAACTCGACCGGTTTCCTAAATACCGGACCGGGTATTTGGACCGGGGGTCGCGAAGGCAGGCTGTTAAAATCCTGTTTTGTGCGTTTTTGGAGGGAGAGAGCTGGGTTTTGGTTCCCAAACACCCAAGGGACGAACCAAAGAGAGAGAGGGCGAATTGAGGGCATTCTTGGAGTGGAATTGGAGGATTTCTTCGCCTTGGAAGCTCGAGGAGCAAGCCTGGACTTGAAGACTGATCATCTGAAGATTCTTACTGCAGTCTCTCTCTCTTCTCTATGGAGTAACTTCCCTTCACTTAGGTTTTGAGGAACCCTAGCTATGTTTGTTTGATTGGATGATTGTATGAGTACTCTTACTTGAGAATCTTGAGTTCATATTCAATCTATGCATGTTTTCATGATTCAATTCTGCTTTAGTTGAGATTATTGATTCTGCTTTGATCCTATGAGAGCGAATACCTGATTAGGTCAATAGAGCACCATAGATTGATAGTAGTGGATCGATTCCTTTAGTCGAGGGTTGATTCACTGCTTTGTATCGATTGAGAACCTCTTTCGATAGAGGGAGTCTAGTTCAGAACGCCTTGATCGGTTGTTCTAGAGAAGGATACGTCCCTCTAGGCAATTGACTCAAGAGGGCTTTGTTCCTTTAGTTGAGACTCAAGGTCTAGTCAAGGATTCTCCGCATTGTGAATGAAAGTGAAACAAGTTAGAAATCATCAATCATTAATCTGACTAGTGGCTAGGGGGAATCATACCTAAGTGAGTTCCTAACCTGTAATTAGATTAACTTTAACTGTAGTTTGCTAGAGTAGTTTTAGTAGTTCTATCTTAATCTGGTTTGCTAGATAATGAACTGAAGCTGAGTAATAGTAACTCTCGAGACCCGTGGATTCGATATTTATTACTTGAGCCACTATACTGCAGTCCCTTTCATTTGTTACACTTGGCCATTGTTAGGAGTTGTCATAGCGAGTCAGTTCACCTACATCACAATGTATATAATATGAAGGAGTCAACTTGACATGATCTATTTATATTTCAGAACCCCGTGTAATGTCAATATATAAATTAAAAATCCATTTCAACATCCACATTCACCCTCCAAATTTGAGATTCACTTCAAGTGACAAGATAATTGGTGGAGTGTTATCGGGCAGAAACAAGATGGAATAGGAAGAAAAAATGTGGAATTAGTTTTAAAATTGGATAGAAATTCTATTATGGAGAAGTTTTCTGCGGATGGAGATGATTATGGGGTGCAGGAAACTAAGAAAAATAATTTAACGGAGGGAAGAGGTGATTCAGGCACAAGAATTAGAGAAAAAAATAAAGGGAAGAAGGGGGAAGTCGAGATTCGGAAGATTGGCGTTGAGATTCAATCTCCAGGACTAGCCCTAGTTTCTGTTAGCATCTCCACTCTCCAGCGCAACCCGTCACCCACCCACGAACCCACCCACATAACAAAATTTTGGTCAAATGCGGTCGAATCGACCCAAACCCGGGGGTGAGCCGCCTGCATGCCCAACCCCAATAATTGCTCCGCCCCGAATCATACTAAATTAACAAATGAGTCAACAACTCAACATACATGGATATGGTCACAACATACATGGATATGGGCACTTGAACAAAGTACATTTTATTACATTCTTGGCAATAAAAATTACTCTCTAATAACAGGAGAGTAATTATCTTCATTGTTACACAATGTAAAAGATGAAAATGTAATTAACCTAAATAAATAAATAGCCATTGACACTGAATATCAAATCACATCTCTACCACAGGGTTTGTTTGCTTGGATGACCCAATTCTTTTTTTCCACATTGGCTTAACCTTCTCACCAAACTTCATGATCCCTAAAAACATGAGCCGATAAAAAACCACCATTCCCGATAATATAGCGATATCAACCCACTTGGAGTACCCTGTTTCTACTTGCCAAACACTCCTCAAAATTTCATCACCCGAGATAGAAGAATTAACTCCTTGTTGGGGATTGGGGAATGTCAACCCTTCAAACTCGTTCTTGTAGAACCCTTGATTCGCATACTTGTGGAATGCGATGTAGTACATTGGGTACCTCCAAAAGGGATTAGGAAGGTCATTGGGCAACCTAAAGAAACCTCCATTTAGCAACATCACACCTTGAATTCCAGCTCCTATTATCATCCCCATCAAGAAATCAGGCACAATGCTCGCCACCATCATCATGAGGCTCTCTACTAGCATCATTGTGACAAACAACAAGAGAGCAAAGCAGGTGAAGTGTTCGATGCTTTTCTGAAGTCCAACGAGGTAGTAAGCTATGGCTCCTGGGATTAATGATATTAGCATCAGGTATGGAATGGAGGATAATGTGTTCCCGACCACGAATGCTCCCACTCCATAGTGCCCATTCAACCTCTCCCTTCTAAATATCTGATCACAGATGCAAAATATAATTCACGCTTAGTAAAAAAGTGAGGTTATGTTTTTAATTGAAAAAGTAAAAATAACTTTGGAGTAACTATAAACTTTTTTTTAGGGCAATGTCTATTTTTTACCCAAATCTTTTTCAGATTCTTTTATTTTAACCAAACCTATTGAATTCCTAAATATTATCCAAACGTTAATTCTCCGTCAACTTTTCTGTTAGTAATGCTGACTAAGTATGACCATAATGAGTTGACTTCCTACGTGGCGGTCAGAATACCATCATTTACTATTTTTAATAAAAAGATTATCAAAAAACAAAACAAAATCACACCTCTCACGTGGACAAAATAAGTAACGGTAACAGAATGAATGCCCAGACTTTGATAAATTATAATACGTTTGGATAATAAATAGAATTTCTATAGGTTTGGTTAAAATAAAAGAATCTGAAAAAGGTTTGGGTAAAAAATAGACATTGCCCTTTTTTTATAGATAAGGGTGATATATGTTATTTTTTTGTTATTTAGGTACTATTTAAAAGATTTGAACCTGATAGCTGATACTTTCAGATTCAAGGCTAGTGGTATTACTACTAGACTAAGTCCTTATTAGTAAACTTAATATTGTATTTAATGAATTTGTTTTAAATGTGAGGTTTGTGGTTGCGCTAACTCGCACAAATCACTAATAAGAATACCATATGTAACTAACAACTAGTTAGTATTTGGCAATCTAGTTTAACTGATTGTTTGGTACCAAATGAATCAAGAGTTCATTTCATTGTAAAATGAAGGGTTAATACCTTAGTTTGGCCTGAACTATACACATACTTTCTACTTTGGCCCGTGGTATTGAAAATTGCTATTCTGGCCTGAACTATGTAGCAAACTTCCTCATTTGGCTCGGAGGCGGGTTTGGCTGTCAAATTAGACGGTCAAACCTGTTGACCGTTAGTCAATGTCCACCTCACATGCCAAGTCAGCTTTGAGGACATAAAAAAATATTTTTTTTTTTATTTCTGAATTTTATTTTCTTTCGATTCATAAAAATAATAAATCAAAAAATTAATTAAAAGAACAATAAAAGGGCCCATTTTTAGCAAATGACAAGAAAACAAAATTCAGGAAAAAAAAATTTTATGTCCTCAAAGCTGACGTGGCAGGTGAGGTGGACATTGACTAACGGTCAACAAGCTTGATCATCTAATTTAACGGTCAAACCCGCCTCTAGGCCAAATGAGGAAGTTTGCTACATAGTTCAGGCTAGAATAGCAATTTCCAATACCACAGGCCAAAGTAGAAAGTATGTGTATAGTTCGGGCCAAACTAAGGTATTAACCCTAAAATGAATTACCGTGTAGAATTCATTCTCAAATGAAATCTTGTGTTTGGTATGTCATATTCAATTCTTTAGAAATACAATAAATTGCGGTGTAGAATTCATTGTCAAATGAATTTCTAATATAAATATTTTTTTTTCCGGTAATTATCGAAACTTTTATTCAGCTCAGCCTGATAAAACAGGACCCTCAAAAAACAAAGAGCCAAATGCTCTAAAATCTGTTTACAAACCATAAACAGAAACCACTCTTAAACTACCTCTACTGCATATAGTAGGCTACTCAATTGGGGAATCTTCAAAATTTCTAACCGGAAATCCGGTCTTCCCATCACAAAAAGATTAAAATCAGCAACCCATCGCCTCTTTGTCTCCTCCACCGATCGCTGCTCATCTCTGTACATCCGAGCACACCGCTCCTTCCAAATAACACTCACACACCAGCACCAGATCGCACTCCAAATTAGTCCATTGCTGCCTTCTCTATTGCATCTTCGACATAACCAACTCAAGAGGCTGTCCCAGTCATTCGGCCACCTGTGCACATCAAAAACTACTACATAGAAAGCCAACGCATAAGTACACCTGCAGAATAAGTGGCTTCGAGTTTCTTCCTCTGCCTGACACAAAACACACACAGAATCAGATAGTTTGCCCCATTGCTTAAGCTTGTCCCGCGTAGTAATCCTGTTCAAAATTATTAACCAAGCTACCACCCTGCTTCTTGGAATAACATGTTTATTCCATAACAGCTTCCACCACTCCACACGAGCGCCTCTAGGCCTGATTGAGTCCCAAATCTTCTGCACCACGAATCTTGGCATCGGGCTTCCTTCCCAGAGGACTCTGCCTTCTGCATCAGTGTCTAATCTAAACTGGAACCAGCTTCTAGATTTGAGAAGCTTCCTCCAAATCCACGAACCAGACTGAGATTGAGGCAGATTCCAGATGGATCTACCCTTCAGCCTGTGCTGCTGCAGCCAAGCAACCCAGAAACTACCGCTTTGCAGCAAGATAAGCCACAACAACCTAGCCATGCATGCCATGTTCCAACTTCCTAGATCTTTCAAACCCATACCTCCTTCTCGTTTAGGAAGAGCAACCAAATCCCAAGCCACCTTCGCTCTCCCTGTACCTTCCCCATGCCATAAGAAGTCTGAACAAATCTTGTGAATAAGGTCTAAAACCTTTTTAGGCAAAATGAAAATGTTCATCCAGCATTGCACCAAAGAGTACAACACCGATGAGATCAGTTGAAGTCTTCCCGCATAAGAAAGCTTACTAGCTTTCCATGAACGAATTCTACTCGTTAACTTGTCCACCAACACTTCACACTCCCTAGTTGACAACCGACCAGCAATTAACGGGAGCCCTAAGTATCTCACAGGCAAATGTCCTTCTGCAAATCCAGACAACTCAATAGCATTCGCCTTAAATAAGTGTGCTTGCCCTCCAAAGAAAACCTCACTTCTGAGGATTACATCTCAAGCCCGATAGCAGATAGAAATCATTTAACAAACTCTTAATCTGTACCAAAGCAGCTGCTGACCCCTCAGTGAAAATCAATAGGTCATCCGCAAAGCAAAGGTTCGTCAAACCTATTGATCGACACTGAGGGTGATAAGGAATACGTTTAGCGCTGGCAGCAACATCCAACATTCTCGATAGTGGTTCAATGGCTATAGTGAAGAGGTAGGGGGAAAGAGGGTCCCCCTGCCTAACACCTTTCTTAGCTTGAAAGAAACCAAATAAAGAACCATACAAGTTGATACTGAAGAAAGCAGAACCAAGACAACCCTGTATCCACTCAATAAACACAGTCGGGAAACCCATATGCCTCATCACACAGACTAAATACTCCCAATTAACCGAATCAAAAGCCTTGTGAAGATCAATTTTCACCGCACATCGAGAAGAGATTCTTGTTTTATTGTAATTCTGCACTATTTCCTGCGCCATTAATATATTATCTAGAACAAGGTTCTAAAAGGCGCTAGGCGTAAGGCAGGCGCTCGGCTCCTGATTTGCGCCTTGCCTGATTAGGCGTAACCTAGGCGCGCCTAGGTGTTTAGAGCATAAATGGAAAAATCCTCAAATATTTCATGTTTTCTGGAATAATTCATATAATCCAAGTGCATATAAAATTAGCAATGCCTAGTTCTTAACAGTAAACACTTAACATAACAAATAACAAGCAAATAGTGACCAATCATCTGCTAATAAGTGCTTATAGAGGCAAGAAGCTTGTGTTACGTACCGAGGAGAAGGAAGGAGCAACAATTGACGAGTTTCGACTTTATTTCCCACTATAGTAGCGGAGCGGTGTGAAGGCGAGAAGAGTGATCGATGACTTTCTCCTGCGGCGGCAGATGTTACTTCCCGTGTTTCTGATTTTCTAGGGCAAGAGGCAAGTTTCTGATTTTCTAGGACAAAAGAAGAGTATTGGGTTTAACCGCCTAAGCTCGCCCAGGAACGCCCAGGCACGCCTTCTCTCCACTAGGCGCAAACTAAGCGCTATTCCTACCTACTAAGCGCTACCAGCGCCTTTTTCAACGCCTATGGCCAAGTCAAGGCGATCCTCCACCGCCTAGCGCCTAATTGAGCCTAGGCGTGCGCCTAAGCGCGCCTTCTTGAACCCTGATCTAGAATACTCCTTCCTTTTACAAACGCAGACTGATTCTTACTAATCACCTCGGGGAGTGCAACCTGAATCCTATTTGCCAGCACCTTAGCAATGATTTTATATATCACATTGATGCAAGCAATAGGACGAAAAGCAGTCATTCTGTCAGCATTTAACGTTTTAGGAGCTAGGGTGAGAGAAGCAGTGTTCATACCTCGAGGTAAGGTCTTAGTTCTGAAGAACTCTTGAATTCCCTCACAGATATCACCACTAATCAGCCCCCAATGCTTCTGAAAGAAACCCGTAGTCCACCCATCAGGACCAGGCGCCTTTAGGGGACTCATATCAAATAGAGCAGCTCTTTACTACCTTCACTTAAGCTTTTATTAATAAGAGAACCAATGAATGTCGAGTCAGGCTTTACTTCAGGATTCACCACGCTGTATAATTGCTCATAAAACCCCACTGCTTCATCTGCTATGCCTTGCTCACTAGTAATTTCCACTCCTGAACTAGTAATTAGTCTTCTCAATTGTTTGCGAGCCTGCCTGATCTTCACTGCTCTATGGAAAAAACCCGAATTCATATCTCCCAGAGTGAGCCAATTTATGCACGATTTTTGTTTGTAAAGCTTTCCTCAGCAGTCCTCAATCTCTGCAACTCCTCAGTGAGAACTCTCATCCTGTCAAATGTGTCGGCACTTGGTAAATCTAAAGCCTGTGCTTGAGCTATCCCAAGGTTAGAACTGGCCTCCTTTACCCTGTCACTAATGTTCATGTATTCCTGCCTGTTTAAACTCTTAAGCTCCAATTTCAGAACATAGAATTTCCTCTTAATCCTCTGTAAGGCTGTACCTTGCAGCTGCTGACCCCAAACATCACTCACTATTTTCTCGTAGGAAGGATGCTGCATCCACATCTCAAAGAATCTGAACGGCTTTGGAAAAGATTTTCGCGGACGACAAGGTGTCACCAGAATCCCACAATGGTCCGAGAAAGATGGGCTGAGAAACTCAGCCACACTATCAGGAAATTTATCGAGCCAATCTTCATTGATCAACATTCTATCCAGCTTCCTTGCAATCGGATTCCCACTCTGCTGATTAGTCCAAGTAAAGAATGAACCCGAAGCCTGATGATCCACCAGCTCCATATCTGTTATCCAATCTCGAAATGCTATCATACTTGAATTAATCGGCACACCATTAGACGCTTCAAAAGGATTGATAATAGCGTTGAAGTCACCACATACTATCCATGGGAAACCCCTAACTCTCCATCTACTCAGTCTCAAATAAGTAGCTGCTCGCTCTACCTCATCATTGGAAGCATAAACCGCAGTAAAGAAGAAACGAACACCAGGGGAAATGGAAACCAGTGCATGAATAAAGTTCGCATCAGTACAGAGAATAGTACCCTTCACTTCAATATCCCATGCTAACCAAACTCTTCCCAGCGGATGACACGTTAGTTAAATGAAAAATTGTTGACTTTTATGTTGATAACCTTGAAGTTTAGTGACATTTTTTAATTGAACATATTGTTGTTGACTCTTGTATCGAATTGGTCCACTTTTATAAAGAGATATAAACAAATCAAGTTACCTTCATGTCCTCAACGAAAGAAGGGAATCCACCAATCGCCATAAAAGCCAAGAAAGTTGCGACAAACATGAGCATTGTACCTCGGGCCTGCAGAATCGCGGCACCAGAATGTAGATTAGTAAATTATTTCATTACATAAAATTTTAATAGATTTATGAGCTCTAATAGTGGGGGAAAACAAAGCACCTGAATTGAGCCAAAGCTAAAGCCAACATCATAGAATATACTTCCAACGCATAAGCTCAAGGCAATGTAGATTGCTAGGCGAAGCCAGTAATAGCCAAGGTCACGATACATGTTCAGAAAGGATCTCCGGGTAAGAATATTGCATTGAGTGACGAAGCTTGCCTGCCCACCTTTCTTGCCCAAACTTCCTCCTTTCTTCTGCAAACCCAACAAAACATCACCTCAAAATTTCCCCTAATTAGGAAGATGTTTACCAATGATGTTAAGCAAAACCTTATTGAATTTTATTTAAGATACCTGTTGGCATAAGCGATTAACATGTTGTTCAGTTTGCCGTCGAATCACAGATGATTTGTATGAAGAAACAAGAATGTTAATGGCTTCCTCTGTTCTTACTGAACCATCACGCCCTTGTTCAATGTCTTCCTGGTAGGTAATATATAATCGTAACACATAAGATTTGAGAGTGCAAAATAATTAGCAGTTCAATGTAGCAGTACATATGAGTAATCTTATTACCTGATCGAAGTCCTTGTTGATGGTACGAAGATAATGATCAGAAGGATTTCTTAGAGTTGGACGGGAAACCATTCGAAGTGAAGAACTGCAACAAAGCGGAAATCTTTGGCTTAACGATCGGAAGTGTGTATCAACTGTGTGTAACTTTCTCTATTTTGACTAGCTACATACCTGTTCAGTCGAAGAAACATGACCAGAGTAGATTGTCCTTCCAGAAGAGAGGAGGCATAGGTTTTGAAAGAGCTGAAAAACCTCACTGCTTGGCTGATGAACTGAAGCAACGACAGTGATCCCGTCGTTTCGAGCAAGCTTCAGAATCCTGCTCATGACGTGGTAAGAAGCTGCACTATCGAGCCCACTGGTGGGCTCGTCCAAGAACAACAACTTGGGCCTCCTTAACATTTCAATGCATATGCTAACTCTCCTCTTCTGCCCGCCGCTCAGGCCCTTAACGGCCCACCCGCCAATTCTCGTGTTCACTGAATCCTGAAGGCCCATTTCCTTGATGACCATCTCTGCTCGTTTCTTTTTCTCGGCGATTGATATGGAATCTGGCAGCTGGAGTTGTGCTGAGTAGTAGACTGCCTCTTTCACTGTTAGAGTTGTCATTAAACTGTCGTCTTATGTCACGTAGGCATGATAGACATAATAATAAAAATAAAATAGTAAATTGCTAATTATCAGATTGTGATCAATAGTAAAAAAACTTGAGTGGTGGAGATATTGTCGATCAATTTGTAACGGATCAATTTGACACAATTGTCTCGTTTGGATGAAGAATTGTTACGGATTAATTTGACACAATTATCTCGTTTGGATGAGGAATTGTAACAGATCAATTTGATACAATTGTCTCGTTTTTCAGACAATTGTATCAAATTGATCTGTTACAATTCCTCATCCAAACGAGATAATAGTGTCAAATTAATCCGTAACAATTCTTCATCCAAACGAGACAATTGTGTCAAATTGATCCGTTACAAATTGATCGACAATATCTCCACCACTCAAGTTTCTCGTTTGCCAGCTCGATCCCTATGAGTTCAATCTTTACAAGTTCGACATTGTGTCACTTATTGAGGGTCTGGGATGGGATTTTCTGCTTCGACAGCCTCTGCATCCTGCGTGTCCTGGGGCTGTCAAGTATTTTTTACTCAAATCTTCGAAGCCAAGGAGTCAGTACAAGATGTTTTTCAACTGTGGTTTATGGTCACTTACTGACCATTCATGTAGCAGCACTGAATGGGATTCTTGGCTTCCCTTCTCAAGGGCTTGACATAGCTCATCCCTCTGAGTTCTGGAAACAAGAGTTCAGGCTCGCCACTGAGTATGGAAATTTCTCAACCGAGCCAACTGGGGGCTCAGATGTGCCTATCCCTATTGAATGGCTGCCTCCCAGGCTTAGAGTTTTCCACCATTTCCTTACTCATGTGTTCTTCCCTCGCTCCTTCAACCTTGATCGAGTGCTGCCAATGGATCTCTGGATGATCTCAAGTGCTACTGCTGGGCGAAAGTTGGATTTTTGCTCTCTCTTTTTCTCAAATCTCCTACCAGTAGGAGATGAGCATTATCAAGGAATGCTGCCTTTCGGATCTCTGATTACTAGAATGCTCATCAATCTTGGAGTAGATTTATCCGAGTTTCGCAGTATTTCCTCCACCATGTATGTGAGTGCGCTCAATGTGCTCATGGTCCTCGACCTTCCCACTGACATCTCTCCTACTCCGCTCCCTTCTGCTTCTATTCTTGGACCTCGTCCAAAGCTGCCCTCTGCCAAAAAGGCCAAGTCTGCTGGCGAATCAAGCAAGGGTGGCAATCTGGTGTTCACTGTGTCTGAAGGAGACTCCTCTTCAGATGACTCTGCAGCTTCTGCTCCTCCCTCCTAAGGGTTCTAGTAGTCAGGGGGAATTTCCTTAGTTTTCTTAGCTAAGATCTTTTGCAATGCTTGCCTCTACTTAGCAGGTGTTTAGGGGGAACTAGTTAGTAATGTTTTCTTTTCTTATGTCTGTTTTTAGTTGTCCTGCATGTGTTCAGGACCTGTTTTGGATGTACCCCCATCTCATCTTATATTAATGAAAATTTTCAGTTTTTCGGAGGTGTGCTGTTGTGGTTTGTTGCCTTTTTGTTTCAGGTACCTCTCGGACGAAGGGGGAAATTGTTGGATAAATGACGTCCATCCCAAGCAAATGGAAACGGCGTCACTTTGCATCCCAGTAACGACGTCGTCCTTCAAAGCCTTCACAAAACCAAACCACTGTCATTTTATGGCACAACACAACGTTTCATTTCCAAACCGACCATTATCCAGATATGCTCGCTTCTCGATCTTCACCTCCACCTTTCGTCTCTCTGGAAATTGAGACATCTCTCTCGAAGCTTGCATCTCCCACGAAGATCGTCACCGCCTCTACAGAGACTAATGATGATCACAGCCTTGATCATCATCCTTAGCTAACGGTTACCTTTCTTTCTTGTATAAATAGTAGATTCTTTTCTTCAGTTCAAACTTGGCAGTCTGTAGTAGAAGAATAGAGAAGTGTCTTCTATTACTTTGGGTCCGAATTTTGCTTCAGTAGAACAAATCACAGTGTCTTAATACTGGGTGATTTGTTCTTGGGAAGTTTGTTTGTTGTTCAAAGAGCCAATTCGTTGGCTTGGCTCTTGCCTTTCTTTCGGTTGTATGTTCTCTAGAATAAATAAAATTGTTCATTTCTAAAAGGGTTGTTTAGTTGAGTGTGATCTTCCTTACACTCTGAATTCTCACTCTTCTCCACAACTTGACGGTTCTGCAACGGGAAAGAAGGATTCTTTTGGGTTGTTGATGGGTCTAGGTTTGCTTGTTTACTCTGTAGATTACAGGAGGTATGGCTGGGTAATCTAAGAGTGTTGGGTTCTCCTAGTTTCGTACAATAGCTTGAGTTATAGTGATTAGGATCTGGATAGCCGGGTGGGTTATAGTGATCGAAATCTGGGCAACCAAGTATTGTGAGGGTTCTAGGGTCCTTTTTTATGTTCTTCATCTTCATCTTTACTTTCTTGTTAAAATCAGATTGATTCTGCAGAATGATGTACTTCATTCCAAATCCTTAATAATATTTTCAGTTTTTTTATCCTTTGTTCTTCCAATCCAAAAGTCTTTAAAGCCCCATACTTTGATTCTACAAAAATAAATGAGAGCAACTCTAAACTAGACAGAGAAAGGGTTTCTATTGCCACACTATGGGCAACCCAATCGGCAGTCCTAGAGACCACACAAAACTCTAAGCTATTTCTAGAGCCACTATCATATGTGGGTAGGCTCTGAGCATCATTATTCCTCCAAATTACATCTCACTCACCCCTTTGATGACAAGCTGGAGAATGACGACTTCAGAATCCTTGCGATAGTGAATCTCCATGTAGGTCGATGTTACAAATCAAGGGTTGGCAAGCTCAGGATGCTGAAGACCAATAGTGAGGTGTTGACGTTCATATGCGAACTTCACCACCAAGCCCGTAGCACAAACTTGATAAGGATGGACATTGATACCAAAGTAGAGTATGAGGTAGAGGAGGAGACTAGATTGGAGGAACTATAGGGAGGATCAAGGTGGAGGAGGAGGATGTTAAGAGAATCAAGCCATCGTAACTGTTGGGTCTCGATCTGAGTTTGGATATTTTATTATTTAGCATTTTAGTATTAATTGTCTTTATTATTGTTTTCCTTATTCAAGTAGGATTTGTGTTATTGTTTAGGAGTTTATTATTATTTCCTTGGAGGAATTTTACACATGAGAGTGATACACATTGTGATTGTGTCCAAATGGGAAAGTGTGGCAAAGATCCCCTGGAAAACAAAAACAAAAAAAGCTCATATAGAGAAATACAAAAATCTATTTCCTTGTAGGTTGGGTTTCATGTTTTGGTTAGGAAAAAGGAGAGGGAGGCCACCGACCTAGTAGGAGAAGGATTGAGATTTTGGATTTTTCTAGCCTATAAATGTGTACCTTAGCTTGGCTTTCGTTTAATAATATGAAAAGAATGGAATTTAATAGTAGTTTGTAGTTATTCTTCGTTCCTCTAAAAATTCTCTTCGTTCTAACTCTCTTTCTTACGTTTATTTATCGATTATGACGACGCACGTTGCGTGAAGGTTCTCACTGGAGAAATACCCGCAACAGAAGAGGAGGAGGAAGAGGAGGAGGAGGAGGAGATAAATGACAATCAGACGAGAATTCTTAGACTTGATGAGCGAATTAAGCAGAGAGGACGTATGCAGTAATTGAGTATTCTTGAAAACTAATGTGTTTTAGGATTTTCAAATTATTCATAATAACTAACCGGTTGGAGAATCTGGTCTGATTTGTACATAAAGTACATTAGTTTCCGCCACTAAGCATAAAATTTTCCAGCACAGCGTGATTCGGGATATAATCCAACTCTACCATTTTTCATTATCAAGAAGTAACTAATGGTCGAGTAAAGAATAAGAAGCTCATGCTAGAACTTTAGACACACTTGGGTAGCAATGTAGCATAAATACAAAGAAAGTTAATTGGTACATACTTGATACTAGATTTTTCTGGTAAGATCATCTCAAAATGATTATCCTCCCATGAGCAATGAGACAAAATTACTTATTAATTATTTCCACCAGAATCCGAATGTGGAGCTTTATTAAGGGGCAAGATAAATAATTTCCACCCGTACGGCCAAAACCCACTTCTATTTAAAGAGAGATACTTTTGATTTGGTAAGCCATATCATTTTAAATTTTTTGGGAATAAAAGATCACAAGTAAATTATTATCGATGCCAGATCTGCAAAGAATAATGGGAGGCCAATAAATTAAAATGGTTGTCTCCCTTTGCTGAAGGCATGGGCACAATGTTATGTTCAGTAAAAATAGTAATCTGTACATGAGTTGTCATATCAGGGTTTTAATATTTTCTTCTTTAATATTCTCTCTCATTTTAAGTATGAATTTTAAATTTTTTTGAAAGATAAATTAAATTAATGGTGCTCTTAAAAATGATATTCACTTTGATATATTTTGGAAACAAAAATAATTCAAACATTTATTACCGGTTTATACCATATGTTATTAATATATATTAAATAAGAGCATACCACGTGATATGAACATACCAGACTGGGGTAGACAATGTATGATGCAGTCAATTGAATCTTTTTGCTTGATCTCATTGTTTAGATAAAGCTGCCCAAATGCTTTGCGGATTGTTTAGCAGGTCCTCGCATTTTTTCTCAGCCTTATTATGTTCACTATTGACATGACAACATGTTTATCAAAGCTCTTATCTTCCTTATTCCAACTTCTAAAACCATCACGAGAGAAAGACTTGCTACCATCGTCTGTCCTAACTCCTAAATAAATAATAAAATGCAAGCAACATGCATCATCTTTCAACACACTATATATTCCAACCAAGAGAAATTTTACAATGCTGTATAGTATTGGTGCTATAGAGTTTTGCCTTTATGGTACAACTTAAAATTGTACATTTACGTTATGGTACAACTTCATATTGTACCTATACTTTTTGTACAAATTCTTTTATGGTACAACTTGAACTTGTACCTTTATGTAATGGTACAACTTCAAGTTGTAAAGTTGTACCATAACATAATGATACAAATTGTTTTATGGTACAACCTAAACTTATACATTTAATGTTATGGTAAAACTTTAAGTTGTACATTAAAGCACCAATACTATACAGCATAGTAGAAGTGCTCTCCAACCAATGATATATTTGAGCTAATTAAGTAGGCTTAAAACTTCGATTCCTTCCCACATATCTCTAGACGGAAAAATATGATTCTCAGGCCGACAAAGATCTTTCTGAAGATAGTGTCTTCTAATTGTATCTTGGACATAAGGATGGAAGCATGATAGTTGTTCTCTCAAAGCAGGGTTGAAGTTCAAAGAATTCACATCAGATTCTTTTTCCCTATATACAAAGCAAGGCATAGAGTGATTTACCGGGAGGGATTAGTGTGACAATGATGGTGTAGTTGAGTTAGAGTCAACTCTAGCTGCATTTGATGAACTACCTTCGTGTCCTTGAACATTTAGGGTTGTCTTTGCCCATTTTACCAAGAAATTTTCCACAGTCAAAAGCTACATATTAAAAATCGAATAAGTAAAAATAAAATAATTAAAAAACTCAAACATAATGGACACAATAACAATTAGGGGTGATAAACGGTTGCCGGTTATTTGGTTAACCGCATAACCGAACCGAAAATGTCGGTTAATCGGCTAACCGATAACCGTTTATTATACTCGGTTGGCGGTGTCGGTTGGGGCTTTGGGGAATTATGGGCAACCGTCGGTTGGCGGTTTATAACCGACGGTGGTGTCGGTGCACCGTATAAACCGACAACCACCCTCTTTAATTCTTTTTTGCCTCATATATTTCCTGAACCTCTCCCAGTTCCCAACTCTCATCTCCTCCCTCGTTGCCCCGCCATCCTTATCCCTCCACTCTCCTCAACCCCTCACATCCAGCCCTCCCTATCCTCAATGTGAGCCTCGACCCTCCCTCTTTCTCAACCCATCATCGTCCTCCATGGCACCTCCAATTTCCATTCCCACAATCGAACCCTAATTTCCCCTCATCCTCCCAACTTCCCCAGGCTCTCGCTCCCACCTCTTCATTCTCGACCTGGCCGCCCGTCTCCCCCTCCCAACTCGACCTCGCTGCGAGCTTCACCGCCCACGTCCCTTTGCCGTCCCGACCTCGCCGTCCTCACAATCTCGATCTCCTCAGCCGTCGTCCCTCACAATCTCGATCTCGTCGACCTCACTCCTCACAATCTTTTGCTGCCAACCTAGGCAAAATTGTCTCATGGAAGTTGTGCATGTGTTGATTTTTTGTTTTGATTTGGTGAGGGGAGAGGGTAGTAGAGAGGTAGAGATTGGAATTTGTCAATGGAATTGGAGAGGGTAGAGCGGTAGAGAGAGAATTAACTTTTGGAGAAAGGGAAAGGTAGCAGGAAAGGAGAAGGATCGAGAATGGGGCTTGGGGTGGGTAAAATTAATATTTTATTTTCCTTTTCTTCTTTTCTTTTTCATTTATTGCGGTTAAATGTTAACCGTTAAACCGAACCGACCCTCTCGGTTGGCGGTTGCGGTTAACCGAGTGAACAATCGGTTGAGGTTGCGGTTGGCTGTTCCGACCCCTTATCGGTGTCGGCTAACCGCTCGGTCGGTTCGGTTAAACTGCAACCGAACCGATTATCACCCCTAATAACAATCCATTTTATACCGCAAAAGCCTCTCTTTTAGTTCTCTATGGAGATATATATAAAACATAAGAAGTTCAAACTAACATATAATATAATAAAAGTAACGCATTACCAATTGGAGAGAGTTGAGAAGGTGTTTCCTCGGAAAAACCAAATACCACTGCCAGTGCCGAATTTGGTTTCCGGCGATGTTGATTCGATTTTTCGCCGTGGAAACTCTTGCGGTGCCGTTTGATCGAAAGCACCGCTGATTGCTGAAATCGAGACGACCGTCAAATATCCACCGGGCGGTGTTGATTTGATCGGTGCAACTGACTTCTGAAAACGATGACGATCGTCAAATATCCACCGCCGTGCGATATTGATTTGATCGATGCACCTCTGACTTCTAACCAACGCGACCGTTACTACGGTTCGCACCTCTTCAAACTACGTTCGAACGAGGGTGTTTGAGTTTTTTTAGGAATCTACGCTACCGCTACTCCTATGGAGATTCCTGTGGAGAGCTCTGCGACTACGACTAAAACTACAACTATGGAGATCCTTCCTGGAAGGAGAGCTCCGCGAAGGAGTTACAGAGAAAAGGTAAAGTTTGAACAGAGTTGATCTGTGTTTATTTTGGGGTTTTCTTCTCTGTCCTTGCTCTGGTGCTTTTATTCGAAAAGCATCTTCGTAGTCTTCATGCTCCGTGAAACCGCTTCCCCAACTGCTCCGTGGTGAACTCCCACGTGTCTCAACCTCCTTGATCTCCTCCTCGCTCTAGTTGGCGTGAATCTTACGTGAAAGAACAAATCGTCGCTGCACCGTTGTAAACTGCCGACACTGCATCTCTAACCTCCACTTTTATCCACATGAGACACACGTGTGAAGTACCTAAGCCCAGGACCGGTATCGCGGTTCGAACCGCGACGTTGTTATTTCATGGCCGCAATACCGTCATGGATTTGAGCCACAAAATTATTAACAAAACCGCATTATTAATTGAAATCGTGCCCTTGCAAGACCCGCAACGGTGTTGGTAATTAAACTCCACGCCATTGTCGGACTCGGGACATTGCATAACTAACCTCACGATATCGCTGAGATCGGTGTTGTTACCCATCGCGATGTCGTTGAGCTCGCATCACTGTCAAATTTACAAACTGAATTTACGACATCGTTTAACTTTGCGGCATTGTTGACCGCTGAAATTGTTTACCATGAAACGTCGTTGGGTCTCACGCGATGCCGTTTTCTTTCCCAAACAACTCTATCTGCTTTTTTACTCCACGACATTGTTTTATAATAAACACTGTCGTTTTCTAATTCACGGTGTTGTTTTCTCTCGCGGCGTTGTTTTCAGCCAAACAACACCGTCTAAAATAATTATTAAAAAAATTAATTAATTAAACCAGCTCATTATTGTATTTTCATCCCTCGGCACCGTTTAATTTTTCCGCGGCATCGCTTTTCACAAATCGATGCCGATTTTGAACCGCTCTGTCCTGGTCCCATCAAACAATGTCGTTTTTCATTCCGCGACATTGTTCTTTACCAAACGGTACCGCCCTCGGCAAATCCAACCCGCAGTGGTATAGTTTTTAACTAAACGGCATTGCTTATCAAGGCCTCTCGTGATATCCTTTTCTAATCCGCAGTGTCGTTGGGTTTATTCGCGGTGCCGTTTCTAGCCAAACGACACCGTCTCCCAGTCTCGCGATGTCGTTGAGCTTTGAGGTTCACGGCACTGTTTGATCCCTCCTCCGACAAGGAAAAAATAAAAGCGCTCCCTTCTCCAACTCCAACAGCAGCATCGCGCACCCGAATAAATTCGTAGCCCTGGCTTGCGACATTGTTTTCACCGAACAACGTCGTTCTCAACATCGCGGTACCGTCGAGTCTCTACGCGGTGTCGTTTCTCTCCTCTCCCGACAAGGAATAAACAAAAGTATTCCTTTTCCAATAACAACACCAACCATGCGGCACTCCCACATTGTTTTATAGTAAACAATGTCGTTTCCAATGCCGCGGTACCGTTGAGCTTCCTTGTGGTGTCGTTTTAACTCTCCGCAATACCGCTCAACTCCAAACGACACCGTTTTTATCCGCGGTATCGAATTAAATGCCGAAACTCATTAATGCAGCATTTAATTGAATAAAAAATAATTTTAGGCATAAACAGAAGGGATATGAGGAACTCATCAATTGGATCGCCATAGCGTACAGTCGAATGCGATTGTATCAAAAGGGAAAAGCGGTTGCTGGTTTGTTTAATCAAATAGTAGAGGGACAATAGAAATTTTATGTTTCTAACTAAAAGGGTGGCATAAAATATTGGTTTTGACGTTTATTTCCTTCTCCTAAGGGACGGGATACGGTGATAACCCCGGGTTGTCAGATTCACAACCAAGGGTATTTTGGGTATGAGAAAAAGGAATATATTAATTACCTTTTTTGTATTAATTATATTGGGAATTAAAAACCCATATTAAATACAATTTTTTTTTCTGAAATTTAAATCATATACATTAATATCTCTATTTATCTCTCTCTCTTCCTTTCTCCAGCAGCCACTCCACATCGACCAACAAACTTTTTCTCCGGCGAATTCTCTCCGGCAGACTCCCTCCGGCAACCTGAAAAAATGTACCAATGCGTTAAAAAGTGTATCAATCTATTAGTCTACTGGTAATTAATATACCAGTGCTAGTGGTACGCTACCAGTACGTTAAAAAATGTACCAGTACTAGCGGTACTAGTAAAAAATGTACCAGTGCTAGTGGTACGCTACCAGTACGTTAAAAAATGTACTAGTACTAGCGGTACCAGTAAAAAATGTACCAGTACTAGTGGTACGCTACCAGTACAACGGTACCACTACCATATTGGTAGCGGTACCAGTAGAGAATAACACAACGCTACTAGCACTGGTAGCGCTACCACTAGCATTGGTAACGGTACCAGTAGAGAATAACACACAAAAAAAACCAGATGATAGTGGTACCAGATGATAGGGGAGCCACTAGTATTGGTACCAGTAGAGACAAACAAAAAATCAGATCGTCGTCCCTCCCACGGCGCACGGAACCAACCCAATGGCACCGCTACCGCCGCCGCACAACCGATCCCTCACGGAATTCGCGAACGACATGCCGGGGCCCACCCCGCAAGCTTTCCCCGCGTCGATGTCGGCGTGGAGAGGGACTGCCGCCGTAGCGGAGATCGGCTGAGAGGCGGAGGATTGCATGGTGAGATTCGCACTCCGGCGGCACGATCCCGTCCCAGATCTTTTTGTGGTGGTTGGCGATTACGCCGCTGCGGCCGGCCATGTTGCTCTGGCCCGATAGGATGAAGACATGCGACGGTGATTCCTGCTGTACGGGAGAGAGGGAGGAGAGAGAGAGGGAGGATGGAGGGTTAGGGTTTTTTTTCTTTTTATATGGTAGGGTGAATGATTGGGGTGTGGTAAATTTTTACCTTTCCAAAAATATCCTTCCTTTAATCTTAACCGTTAATTTAAAAAAAAAAAACAGGAGAGAGAACGTATCCAAGGGCAATGAAGTGGGTTGTGAATCTGACAACCCCCTTAGGGGTTGTCACCGTATCTCGTCCCTTCTCCTAATCCCAATTATTGTGCTAGCTCTACCTCTGATCAAACCGAATCAACAAATGAGTCAACATACATGGATATGATCACTTGAACAAAGTATAGCTTATGGAAATAAAAAATACTCCCTAATCACAGGAGAGTAATTATCTTCGTTGTTAAACAACATTAAAGATAAAAATGCAATTGATATCAATCAATAAATAGCCAATTAACATTAACTTTGAAATATCAAGTCATATCTCTACCACAGGGCTTGTTTTCTTGGATGACCCAACTCTTTTTTTCAACATCAGCTTAACCTTCTCACCAAGCTTCACAATCCCCAAAAACATGAGCCGATAAAAAACCACCATTCCAAATAATATAGCGATATCAATCCACTTGGAGTACCCTGTATCTACTTGCCAAACACTCCTCAAAATTTCCTCACCCGAGATGGAAGAATTAGCTCCTTGTTGAGGATTGGGGAATGTCAACCCTTCAAACTCGTTCTTGTAGAATCCTTGATTCGCATACTTATGGAATGAGATGTAGTACATAGGGTACTTCCAAAAGAGATTAGGAAGGTCATTGGGCAACCTAAAGAAACCTCCATTTAGCACCATCACACCTTGAATTCCAGCTCCTGTTATCACCCCCATCAAGAAATCAGGCACAAAGCTCGCCACCATCATCATGAGGCTCTCTACCAGCAACATTGTGACGAACAACAAGAGAGCAAAGTAGGTGAAGTGTTCGATGCTTTTCTGAAGTCCCACGAGAAAGTAAGCTATGACTCCTGGGATTAAGGATATTAGAAAGAGGTATGGGATGGAGGATAATGTGTTCGCAACCACAAATGCTCCCACTTCGTAGTGGCCATTCAGCCTCTCTCGTCTAAATATCTGATCACGGATAAAAACATCATTCACGCTTAGTAAAAAGTGAGGTTATGTTTGTTTCAACTAGTAGGAGACTAGTGAGAGAAATGGCTATCAATGCGTATTTGATTGAAAAAGTCAAAAAATAACTTTGGAGTCACTATAAACTTGACATTTTATTTAATGAATTTGTTACTAAATTTTTAAATAATTAGGTTCTTGTTGGCGATAACTCGCACAAATAACAAAATAAAAATACCATATGTAACTAGCAACTAGTAAGTATTTGACAATCTAGTTTAACTCAATATATAATTTATCAACTCACTAACTCGATCAAATCACAACCCATATTAGTTAAATTCTGAAACCCAAAAATCATTTCATCCCTGACTCGATAGCTAGTTAGATACAGTACATCTGCCATTTTATTTTTAAATTTAGTGAGTTAACTCGTGCAAACTAGACCCGTTGAACGAACAATATTGTGGAGATAGATAAAGAGTGTCCTTATATAATTATTATATACTTAAGTGATATCTAACTTAAATGAAATTTTGGTGACATATTTGTTGCTAACCTCGAAATTTAGTGACATTTTTCAATTGAACCTATTATTGTTAACTCTTGTATTGAATTGGCCCAACTTTACAAAAGCATATAAACAAGTCAAGTTACCTTCATATCCTCGATGAAAGAAGGGAATCCACCAATTGCCATGAAAGTCAAGAATGCTGCGACGAACATGAGCATCGTTCCTCGGGCCTACAAAATTAAGGAACCAGAATTTGGATTAGTGAATCATTTCATTACAAAATATTTTAATAGGTTAATGGGCTCTAATAGTGGGGAAAAGAAAAGCACCTGAATTGAGCCAAAGCTAAAGCCAACATCATAGAATATACTTCCAGTGCATAAACTCAAGGCAATGTAGATTGCTAGGCGAAGCCAGTAATAGCCAAGGTCACGATACATGTTCAGAAAGGATCTCCGGGTAAGAACAATGCATTGAGTGATGAAGCTTGCTTGTCCTCCTTTCTTGCCAAAAGTTCCTCCTTTCTTTTGAAATCCCAACAAAAAATCACCATAAAATCTCCCCTAGCTAGGAATTTGTTTACGTTGAGAAAAACCTTATTGAATTTGATCAAAGATACCTGTTGGCATAAGGTATTAACATGTTGTTCAGTTTGCTGTCGAATCACACATGATTTGTATGAAGAAACAAGAATACTAATGACTTCCTCTGTTCTTACTGAACCACCATGCCCTTGTTCAATGTCTTCCTGGTAATATGTAATCATAAAACACAAGATTTGAGAATGAAATTAATTATCACTTCAATGTAGCAGTACATATGAGTAATCTTATTACCTGATCGAAGTCCTTGTTGATGGTTTGAAGATAATGGTCAGAAGGGTTTCTCAGAGTTGGACAGGGGAAACCATTGGAAGTGAAAAACTGCAACAAAGCAGAAATCTTTGGCTTAGTGATTGGAAGCTCAACTGCAAGTAATTTTTCCTATTTTGACTAGCTACATACCTGTTCAGTCGAAGCAACACGACCAAAGTAGACTGTCCTTCCAGAAGAGAGGAGACATAGGTTTCGAAAGAGCTGGAAAACCTCACTACTTGGCTGATGAACTGAAGCAACGACAGTGATCCTGTCGTTTTGAGCAAGCTTCAGAATCCTGCTCATGACGTGGTAAGAAGCTGCACTATCGAGCCCACTGGTGGGCTCGTCCAAGAATAACAACTTGGGCCTCCTTAACATTTCAATGCATATGCTAACTCTCCTCTTCTGCCCGCCGCTCAGGCCCTTAACGGCCCACCCGCCAATTCTAGTGTTCAGTGAATCCTGAAGGCCCATTTCCTTTATCACCATCTCTGCTCGTTTCTTTTTCTCGGCGATTGATATGGAATCTGGCAGCTGGAGTTGTGCTGAGTAGTAGACTGCCTCTTTCACTGTGAGTGTCGTCATTAAAGTGTCGTCTTGTGTCAAGTAGGCCTGAGAGACATAATAATGAAAATAAAATGTTAAATTGCTAATTATCATATTTGTGATCAATAGTAAACTAAGTTGCACGGTAAGTTTTCCTCATAAACTCAACTTCTAATTGTCAGCGAAAAACAAAACCCCTTAGGGTGTGTTTGGATACAAGGATTTGGATTTGGTATTTGTGATTTAGATTTTCAAATACCAAATGATGTGTTTGGATATTAATTACATTTGGTATTTGGATTTGTGTCAAATTCATGGGGTGATTTCCAAATACATGTCTAGTGTATTTTTTGTCAACTTCAAATACATTTCAACAACTAGTGATTTGAAATACCTCCTAACAAAAGAATGGACCTATTTGTAAAATATGAAAAGTTTAGGTACTATAGTGTGAGGCAAAACATATAAAGGTACCAAAATGTAATTTTACCATCAAAATTTTAGGACCTTTTTGTAAAATTTTAAAAGTTTAGGTACTAAATTGTAAGAAAAAATAATTTTGGGTACCAAACTGTAATTTACCAAAATTTGTAGTAAGTGACCAGAAAATTAAAAATTGAAATTGAAAATCATAAATACAAAAATACAAACAAATTACAAATAAGTATCCAAACAATGAATTTGAATTACATGTATTTCAAATGCTAATACTCCAAATACATCCATTTCAAATGCTAGTATTTCAAATATCTTACATTTAAAATACACTTATCCAAACGCACCCTTATAGGAAATTAGTTAGGCCGTCCATAACTGCCAACCGATTATTAGACTTCATCAGGGCTACGGATAGAGTCGATAATCAGCATAAATATGAGCCTTTCATTTTTATTGGGGCCAGATCTAAGGTTGGAATTAAAGCCTTTGCATTTTTTCCTAGTTTTTTTAATCAATCCTTATCTTTTTTTTCTAACTTGGATTGCAATTTTTCCCCCATAGAGGAAACGAGTTCGTTGTGCTCTACAAAATAAGATCAATTTTCAATAAATTTTGAGTATTATTTTATGTCATTCATACCACTTGTTACCACTTTCATACTATATGATATTTCCTTCTTTTGAAGTCGATTTTGAAAATTTTTGCACAGAAGGAACGAGTTCAACATAATATATTGGATCTAGAAATTTATAGGGGAAAAAGTACATGACCAAAAATGCTACTCCATACCACCCTGGTATAGGAGTGGTTTTTTGTGGTACACAATATTGAAAACTGTAAATGATAGTTGGGTATATTCTTATTATCATGTATTAAACCATTCTACAGTCTGGTATGTTATTCCACCATGATACACTTCCATACCACATGATATGCTCTTTATGTAATACCAAACAATACCACCATTGTGTAGACTGGTACTAAATGCCTCAACATTTTTATGTAAAAAATATATCAAAGTGAATATCATTTTCAAGGAGGAGATAGGTTGCTAACACCCTTAAGTGTTAGTACCAACCATACTAAACATTCATTAAGGGTACTATAGTAATTATCATTCCTCCTCCCCTTCCTCTTCCCCTTTCCCCTTTCTATACGTTGTTGTAATAGAGGTTTATATCCAAATTAAATTTTTTGTACTCAAAATCAATACATTTTAATATTTAGTGCATAAAATTATTTTGTTACGTATAAGTCCTAAAAATATTGATGTAAAATTGCAATTTAATGCCTGAACTTTTTTCTTACATTTTGATACCTAAACTTTTAAAATTTTACAAACAGATCCACTGTAAAAAGAAACTTCTGAACAACTTTAAGAAACTTGTGAGGTGGATTTTGTGGTTTGTGACCTGGATTTTGTGGTGAGTATTTTGTGGTGTGACCTAAATTTTGTGGTGTGGATTTTGTGGGATGGATTTTGAGGAGAGCATTATGTTGTTTGTGGGGTGAATTTTCCCTTCCCCATTTAATTGCAGAAGTGACTCTCCCTTTCCCTTCCTCCAATTCTTATTAATGTACACCACAAAATTATGCATCAGATTAAATTCTACACTGCAACTTGGCCACGCGGGGAGGTGTACTAAACAAATTTATTTTGGAGGAAGTTGCATGGAATGACAGTCTTTCCACCGGGTACCAAATGTTCTTTTTATAATCATTTGAGTTGACCGCGCAAGTTTAGTAAAAAAAGTCGAGTGGTGAAGATATTGTGGAGTGTTTTTTTTATGCCGACCAAATTAGGAAGCAACTTGCTTAGTATATTACATTGTTACTGTTTATGAACTTCAATCGGCAGCAACCAAAAATGAGTAAAAGCGGGTCGGGGTCCAAAGATTACATACCGAGGTCCCATAAGCTAAACTCTCTTTCCGACCGTTGATTAGGATGTCTCCACTTTGCTGCGCCGTTGAACTCAACCTTCCTGCATTAGGTTTTCAAGTCAGCATCCAAACATTTTAACCATCGAAGATATAAAGTTATTGTAAAATTACGATTACACCTAATTCATGCATTTATGTGGTTATTACGTTGTTTCATAAGTATTCACATAATTTAATGTTTATTCATGAAAAAGTTATCATCATTGACTCAAGCATGTGTTTTTTTTTTGTTCTCCCAATATTTTTATTTTGGCTATATATTATTGAATTAAAATTTGGAATTTTCAAATTTTCTGTTAAAATGAGTTCAATACAAGAAAATTAATTTCTCGTATGGGGTCTTATTCACGAGAAATTTTTCCGTGCTAAAAGTTATACGAATAGTCACAGTAAAAAATCCCATAATTAATCGTATATCTCAAATCACGGGAATCTGTTTTTTCAATCTTCATTTCCAATGACTAATGATTCATCACCGCTAATTCGCGTGAAGAATATAATAATTTATCTTTGAGTAGAAAATTTCAAACACCATTTTATTTTGGCTCAAAAAATATAATAACCGATCATAATTTACACAATGACATCCAATTTAGTGTAATTCAAATATTTAAAAAATGATTTTACAACAGCGTGAATAAATAACAATATGTCTGAATAAATACCTCTAAGCGAATGACTATTATTATTTGCGTGAACAACTACCAACATTACGTGAAAGAAACTACTATTACGTGAATAAACACAAATTCACATAAATAAATGAAAATGCGTGAAGTAGGTATTGTAATTCCTCATATTCCACCATCCTTTTCCTAAATAGGAATTACCTGCCAAAGCGTCGAGCAGGGTTGATTTGCCGCATCCAGAAGGACCCATGATAGCAAGCACCTCCCCGGGCTCCGCATATCCCGTCAGCCCTTCCAGGATCGTCAGCCGACCGCCGCCAACTGTAACGTACAGATCCTTCCACGTCACCGAAACGCCGCCGTCCGCCGCCGCTCCCAGCTCATCATCGTCATCATCATGTTCTTCCTTCCGGGCCACCACAGCTTCCATTTCCATCTCCAGATAACTTGGTTCCTGATCCTGATGATGATAGGAGAAGGGAAACGTGGCGAATACTATAGCTTCTCGGCCGTACGTCGTCGGAAGAGTTTGCAGGAGACGATCTCGTATGACTTCGGTGTGCATCTAGGCACCTTGTTGTTATTTATAGCTGTTGCTAATTGCACCCTCTGAATCCATCTTCTCTCTCTCGATGGCGTTGACCGACGGGAACAGTGGGTTATGACCAAGGTTGTCAAACCGGTTTATGTCAGTATGCTGGTTTAGCAAGTGAAATGGTTTAACCGGTGGCATATACTGGTTTGTGCCGGTTCATGCCGGTTAATATTACAAATAAAATTTTAAATACTCATATTTAAACATGACATTTAACGTCAATACCTAAACATTTATACTTGAATCCAACAAATAACATCAATATTTAACTTTTATACTCATAAAATAAATAATAAAATAATTTTTATCAATTAAGTTCTCTAAATTAAAGTCATTTTAGTTAGAGATTCGTATATCGATCATACCGGTCATACCGGTAGTGTCACGCCAGTTTTATGACCGGTATCGGTTGAACCCGTGACAACCATGGTTATGACTATGTAGTGATTGGGTTTTTTTTTTGTTATTGCTGCATGGAATCCCTGCGTATTAATTTATTTATTTTTAAATTGTATTAATCCAACGAATACCATTATTGGGTTTTTTATTTATTCTGAGATATAACAATATAATACAATACAAGTAAATCCAAGAAAATCTCTCCCAGCTAAGCAACAAAACAAATGAGAGCAACTCTAAACTAGACAGAGAAAGTGCTTTTATTGCCACACTATGGGCAGTCCAATTGGCAGTTCTAGGAATCACACAAAACTAGAAGTCTATGTCTGTAGCAAATATCATCGGTGGGTAGACTCTGAGGAACGATTCTCGAATTACATCTCACTCACCCCTTTGAGAAGCAGGCGAATGACGACTTCGGAATCCTTGCGATAGTGAATCTCCATGTAGGTCGATGTTACAAATCAAGGGCTGGCAATCTCAAGATGCTGAAGACCATTGGCAAGGTGTTGACGTTCATCTGAGAACTTCACCACCAAGACCGTAGCACAAACTTGATAAGGATGGACATTGATACTAAAGTTGAGTTTGAGGCGGCCAGGAGGAAACTAGATTGGAGGAAATGTAGGGAGGATCGAAGGAGGAGGAGGAGGAGATAAACGATGAGCAGACGAGAATTCTTGGACTCGATGAGCGAACTGATCGAGCAGAGACGACTGAGGCAGTAGTTGAGTATTCTCGAAAACTACTGTGTTTTGGTATTTCCAAATAATCCATAATAACTAAGGAGTTCGCAATTAGGGTGACGCAACCCGTAGAACCCGACCCAACCCGTGTTGAACTATTGTCATAAGTGTTCGTATACAACACATATTTGTGTCATAAATAAACATATTTGTGAGAAAATTAAACTATCTTATCATATTTATTTTCTTGTGGTTTCTCTAGTCTAATACATTCTTCAACTTAATATTTAGACGTAGATTTAATATAAGTTATGATTCACATAATCTTTTTTCTTGTATGTACAATTTTAGAAGAACAACATATTATGAATGTGTTAGCTTATAACTAGTTTAGCTTACTTTGACAAATATTTATGAAAAAAATTAGACATATGTTGAAGTAAATTGCATTTCATTAAAATCCAAACAATATTTATGCATATTGAAACTTCTTACCTCGATTTATTTGTTTAAAATCTTAATTAGTTATATAATATTATTGGGTGTATAATAGTTGCCTTTTTTAGTTGGGTTGAATATTTAATTAAAAGTATATACTACCCGACCCAACCCAACTGATAGACCGTTAATTACACATGTTTTTACCCCTATTCTTACACCGTTTGAGATGTGATTTCTCGTGTTTTAGGCCAATTTCACGCTAGGTTGTGCTTGTTTGTGATATTTCAAGTCCTAGTACGTGAATGGAGGCTTGGGAGCGAGTTTGGGGGAGATTGGACGAAGATCGGACGCGTGGCGCGGTGCTGAGGAAGCCACACGGGCATTCCAGGAACCCACACGGTCGTGCATTGTGGCCGTGTGGTTTGTGCCGAGAGCAAACACGGGCAGGATGGAAATTCCACACGACCGTATGACCCTGGCCGTGTGGGAAGCCTGAAGTTCGACTATTGAGACGCAGCGTTTTGGAAGCCACACGGGCAACTGGGTGAGCCACACGGCCGTGTGGCCTGCCCGTGTGAGTCGGGAAATCTTGGTTTTTACCCAATTCCGAGCCACAAGTGAGAGAATCGATTTTCTGGAGCAAAAAACAGAGTTTTAGAGAGAGAAAGAGCGAAGAACAAACCCTAGGAGCTATTTGGAGTGGATTTCTCACCATTGAAGCCCAGATTGCGTTCCCAGGAGTGAAGATTGACATCCCAGAGCAGATTTTCCTCATCTTTATGAGTATGACTACTCTGATTTCTGTTTTCCTCTCTCTCTCTATGGAGTAGAACTTTTCTCTCACTTGGGTATGAAGAACCCTAGTTCCATGTGTTAGGGATTTGATTGTAATGACTTGGGATGATTATACTGTTTGGTTTTAATCGAATGATGCATGATTCATTGAATTGATTGAAGTCTGATCAGCTTTTCTTGGTTTTTGCTGCAACCTGAGATAGATAGAATCTGATTAGGTTGTTAGAGCTACATCATTCAGTAGTAGGAGATTGGCTATACAAGAGTTAGTCAATCTACTGCTTTGTACTGGAATCCAATTCCAGTAGTGGAGTTCTGTGTTCATAGCCTCGGCTTTCTATCCCGGTGAAGACTAGTCGTCTGCCGGGTAGTTAGACTGAGAGGGCTTGGTCAGCTTAAGAGATTCCAAGCTACTGTCGGATCTTCCGCAGTTTAATTAACAGTAAATCAACCCAGGGTAATTACAATTGAAACCTAACCAAGGAGCTAGGGGGACTCATTCCCGAGTGACTCTTCCTTGACTTCAGAAAACCGAACCATTTCCTGCTTTTTACTGCTTTTAGTTAAAACAACAATCACTCGACTTAGTTGGCTAGATAATAGATAATCACGGAGTAGGCAGTAGATCTAGACCCTGGGTTGATAATAGAACTTGCTACTTTACTGCATTCCCGGAATGCGATTACACTTGGTCGCAGTTTGGTGTTGTGTTTTGGCGTGTCAAGTTTTTGGCGCCGTTGCCGGGGACCCTCTAGGTTATTGGAGAAACGTGAAAATTTGTTACTCTAGCTTTTTCTTTACTGCTTTGTTTTCTCTTCCACCTGTGTGCCTTCACGGGTTGCTTTTGCTGGTTGTGTGCATGATGGCTGCTTATGATGAGCACCTGGACTTGATGGCGATCCAGCAGGGGGTGACTCTGCCTCATATCGAGCGAGAGAAGGCTCGATCTAGGCGCATGCAGGAGGTCCAGCAGCACCTGCTCCAGCTGCTGCCGGGCGAGCGGCCAGTTTGGAGGACTCCCTGGGAGGACTCTCCACTTCCACCTCCCCCTGCTGATGGTGATGATGGTGATGACGCCTTCATGGACGACATCGACCTGGATAACCTTGGCGACGAGTAGGCTGTACTCGTTGCCCCTCTGAGTGTGTTTTCGTTTTATACTTTTGTGTGTTTGCTCCATGTGTGAGGAGCTTGAACTTAGTGTGTCGTTTGGTTGTGTTTTCTTTTTCTTTTGTGGATTGTTTATTTTGTAGCCATCTGGGCTAACATTGATCCCTAACGCACAGTGTGCTAGTGTGTTCTTGATGTTCGATTCGTGCAGAACTGTCCATCTTCCCGTTTGTTTCCCGCTGACTGGTCCACTTCCAGTCTCCCAAGCAGTATTTCAATCCGGTAACATCGTTCCCCTTATCTCTCCCTCTACTCCATTGAGGGCAATGTCGTGCTTAAGTGTGGGGGGTGCTTTGTATCGGTTGGAATCTATATTTGTGTGCTTGGAGCCTAGTCCGATGTCCGAATCTTACGATTTGAGCGCTCCAAGTACTGCTGTTTGATCATATTGGCAGTGTGTTGTGATTGGTGAATTGAATGGTTTTCGGATTGATGCATGACAACTGGATTGTGACTAGGACAACCTATAATGATGACTGAGACGTGCAGTAGAATTGTGTAGGGGTTCAGTTTTTCAACTGTTTGCTTACCAACTGTGACTTGGATGAATCACTTGTTCTTGACAGTCGTTTATGCATCTAGTTCAGGGAATCAGAATGTGAGATAGTGCATATAGGTAGCCATGTGAGATTTGAGCCTGCTCGTTTCTTTCTTGTGCGATAGATCCCTCTTCCATGATGTGTAGCATTCACGTTGTCACTAGCTAAGATGATGGGGGCATAGGATTAGCCCGCGACCAAATTGACTGTCCTGATGTGTCATATCCCCTAGTCAGCCCCTTTGAGCCTTGTGTTATCCTTTCTTTCGGTCTACAATGAAAAATCACCCTTTTGCATCTTTTAAAAGGTTCCACAGAGTGGTATTTACATGTTCTCTGCTGTTTCTGCTAAATTTAATGTGAGGGTTGGAGTTAGTGCTTAAAAGTTGGGCATGTGTTTGATAAATGTGCAGAAGTGGCGGTTCTCTGAAGTAATGAAAAGAAAATGAAAGAAAAACAAGAAAAAAATGAAACCAAAAGAGAGCCACCACAAAAAATCTGAATAGTGCTCAATAAGTAGTGTTTCTTAGCAGTCTGGCTTGGAAATGCTGACATTTATATGACCTCCTTCGCTCTTGTGCTCTTGAGATATTGAGTAATGCAGAATGGCAGGAAGGAAATACTGGTTTGTTTGACGGTGATTGTGTGGGTTTGGAAATGTGGAACCTTGTGCTATGAATACTTCCACCACCTAAAAGGCCTTTTCCCCATGTCCAAGACCCTAGCCAGTCAGCTGAACCTGTGTCTAAGACCTCCGGATTAGTTAGTGGTGACACCCCATATGTGAACTCTAGAATTTAGAGGCTGCCATC